TCACTTTATAAAACAAAATACAAATTTTCTTAAATTTATAATTTTTGAATAAAACTCATTTTTTGTATGAATGACTTTTATTACAAAACTTACCAGATATACGGTTTAAATTATCAATGTAAATTCGAATTAAGACTTACAAGTGAAATATAAAAAGATATAGAGAGATAGTAGTATGGTTGATAACTTATTTAAACCCTATGATTCGTGAAGAATTATATAAGTAACAAATCATTCAATATTTCATATTCTTTTCCTAGAGATATTCAATGAAAACATGCGCACGCCTTCTAACACCATCGATATTTGTGAACTTTTTTGTGTTACTCGGCCGAAACCACTTGTCGGTTGGGCTCACACCTATTTTTATTTATTTTTTATTTTTTTATATTGGCAATATGATTCGAATTAGATGATTGTGCTTGGGTTGATTTAGATGGTTTGGGAAAAATAATCTCAATCAAATTATTTTCGAATTGATAGTGTTTTGATCTGTCATCAACCCGCACAATCTTAAAACTGATGAGTTGACTTAAGTGTTTTGACAGTTTTAAACTAACTAGTGGGCTGTAAATTTTAACACATTGTATGAACACATTTTATATACATGGGTGGATTGGATGGAATGGGCAACTAGGTGATTTTTATGTACTCTCCTAATTAATGAAGTGTATTTAGAGGCCTACCAAAGCCCTATACATGAATAAATTGTACTGTATTGAAAATCATTATAGCCAATCACCATTGAACAAAAAGAAAACTGACATGGTCCTCCATATGAATATTTGAAACTCAGGACTTCTTGATCAAGCTCAAGGTTTGGGCATGTTTCTTTCATAAAAATATAAAATCAAGCTGAGACTGAATTTTATTTCATAATTCGGAAAGCTTTATACTCTGAATTAAAGAGTAAGTAAATCTAGCACCCTATTCACATTAGGGAAATTCTAATATATGTATCCCTAACTATGCCTTTTTTTTTTTTTCAATTTTCTTTTTTAGTTATGACATTATTTTAATTATGACTCGTGAGATTTTTAGTTATGTCTCGTATTGTGTTTTGTTATGATATTTTTTTTAAATTTTTTTTAATTATGACTCTGAAAGTATGAAATTATATAATTTTTTTTTTTTTAATTATAAGACACATATGTGTACCATAGTGTTTCCCTTCATGTAATCACACATTGAAGATCATGCAAATATTCAGAGAATCTATGGCCTTATTTATTACATGTTGATAGGTCTACACCCCCATTTTATTTTTCCATCCAAAGGACCATCTTAGGTTTCAAAACTGTAATTTTGGTGCAATAATCTTACAATAGTAGTTTAGGAGTGGTTTAACTAGTCAACCACCTTTAAACTATCCAAATCACTCTCTTAAAAGTGTTGGGTAATGCGGATTCTCATAAGTACTGAAGATTGACTATTCGACCGCCCGAATTTCTATGAATATTTGTAGCCCTAATTTTTATGTATTTTTAGTTGAGAATGAAACGACTATCTCTATATCTTCTAACTTTCTGTTCATAGTGAAAAATCGCAATAGTTATAACATAGTCTTCAGTTTAGGGATAACCCAAAATTTGTGTAGCTTGATTTTTCGCCTATTATTGTTATTTCTGTTTGTATTTTGTGCCTTATCGATCCTAATTAAATATAACAATTTCTAACCTAAACTATCATTGTAAGATTGTAGCACCAAAAATTATTGAAGAGAATTATATCACACTTTTTTTTCTTTTTCTCATCATATATATATATATATATATAAATTATGGTGGTAACACCTAGGATTCTTTCTTCAAAATATTTTTAGTGATCGAGTTCTCAATGATTTGCTAATCACACATAATATGTATACAATTGAGAATACATTGAAACGGATTTTTTTTTTTTTTTTTGAAATATGAAATCCGGTACTTGGTGGTAATGGAGATTAATCACATCATTAGTGATAGGCCATTAATCCCTTCTTTATTTTTTTAGATTATGTTTAGATTAAAAATTTGAGAAAATATTTATAGAGAAAAATGAAAAAAGGAATAGAAAAGTGAATAAAATAAAAGCTTTTTTTTTTTTTCCCCTTCTTTCCTTTCACTCTCAAATCTTTAATCCAAACACAATGTTTGTTTCTTTCTTCTCTTTCAACTTCAAATCTTTTCCTTTTCTAATCTACTTTTTGTTTAAATTTTTTGGCTTAGAGAAGACTTCTTGTTGATCATAAGCCAAGGTTTGTTGTTAATTAATCACAAACCATTAATCAAAGGCAATTAATTTAATCAAGCTAAATCTCATTGACTTACCATTTATCTTCAACCTTCGAAACCTAAATTAAAATTAACATCTAATCCATCCAACCACACGCTTCTTGTACGATTTGCTAATTTACATCACACTGTTGTTGAAATACCAGACATGTGAGAAACACTGTTAATGTAAGCAGAATAATTATTTCTAAACAATTCTTAATCCGAGATTCATTTGTAGATGAATTACTCTAAACAATACTTACTTTAGGTATACGTAGTTGCAAACCAGCTGGAATGAGACTCCGCAGAAAGATCAAAGCTACTTTAGTAGTTCATACCTTAAATACATAATCATTAACTTTTAATGATTTAATTAACAACAAAAAGTCCACATGCCTGTCCAATAGAGAAACATTAACAAGTACAAATTGTGGCGGTGCCCTAAACATAAGGAATCTCTTTGACCCTTTTAGCCAATAACATGAAAAAATCCATAATGTACATTCTCTCCATCTATCATTTTCCCATCTTCTTTGGATAAAACAACATTAACATCTATTTCTCTCTCCTAACTTTCTCTTCGATCTCTCCTAACTTAGAGATGGACTTTAAACCTACACACTTGCTTGACTTTTTTAAGGTAGGGAACATCCCCACTCGTATGCTAATGTAATCACCTCAACTAGTGATGTAGTTATGGCGGTCAACGAGTCAAGTTGAGTTTTTGACTGTTTAAGCTCGTTTACTATGAATTTAAGTTTGAATTGAGCTCAAGACGAGTTTAAATAATTGAGTTTGAATTCAAACTCATCAAGTATTTAAAAATTCAAGCTCAATATGAATTAATTTGATTACATAAACGACCATGAGGTTGAACGCGAAAAAATAGTTAAAATTTAAATAATTTACTTTTTTTTTTTATTAAAACAATCATGAATAAAATATAAAAGGAATACTATATTAATAAAAATTTATTTGATATATTATTAAAAATAGATGTTTTTTATGTTCATGAATCTTATTGAGTATAATTTGAGTCTACTCAAACTCAACTCAAACAAGCTTAAAAATAAAGTTTAAGCTCATTCATGTAGTAAATGAACTAAACTCAAACAAGTTTTAAACAAGTCGAACTTGAGCATTCTCGTTTGCAACCCTAAATGTAGTGGTGATTGAAAATAAGTTTACGGAATAATTTGATCATTTGATGATAAAATGGTAATTTTACAAAATTTTCAAGGTAACTATGTCAAGTCCAAAACACCAGTATTCGATTTTAAATGACCCAACAAGTTGAACTTATTGCTGTGAGATGACCTGTGTTGGATTTTGGGCAAACTCCATTGTTTAGGCTTCCGAATTAAAAATTTTACTATATTTTGAAAGATTTTGAATACTTAATTTTGAGGTACAAATAAATCCATTTTCGTTCATGTTTTTTCTAGGAGGCTATTCTTTATTCTATATCCTAACTCAAATATGCTATTTTTGACAATTTTTTGATTTTATGTAACCGTGGCTGATTTGGGGTATGGATTGTAACTAATCACCGAGAAATATTTGTTGTAAATTTAATTCTAGGCCTTTAAGGCTAATCAATTGGTTTTGAATAATATAAATTGGGAGAAGTTGTTCTCTTTTTATATTATTTATATTTTCTTGTATTTTTTTCTATTACATCACCCTTCCTTGTATAAACTAGGAAGTGCACAAGATTCTTGCCAAAGTGGTTTGAGCGAATCAATATATACACAACCTTCACCTATTTTTGAAAATTGACAATTTTAATGATTTGAACGAGCAACACCAAGACTAATACAGTACAACAAATTAAAAATTTAGAGACAAAAATTTAGAAACGAAATAATTTTTTAGGGACAAAATATCTTGATTGTCAAAAGTATCATTTATTGTATTTTTAGCTAAGAAATTAGGCGTTTAGTGATAAATTACTTTATTTTTCGATCAAAATTTTTGTTTCACAAAGTAAATCTTTTTGAAACCAAATTATTTTTTTCCCTAAAATTGCATTTATTAGTGATGTTTTTAAAATTTTGTTGCTAAAAGTTATTTTTTTATTTTTCAGAATGACTTTTAGTGAAGAATCTCATGATAATAGGAACGGATCTCCTAATACTTTTTTTACAACGAAATTTTTATATTGGGGCAAAAAATTTTGGTCCCTCTAACCCCTCATATATGTAGTGACAGCAAACAAACTAGGGGGAAAAATAACAATAATAAAAGGAGAGAGAGGTCAAGATAAGGTCTGTATGTGAAGCCATTAGCTGGAGCTTTGATATATATATATATATATTTTTAAAAAAATGAAGCAATATATTACTGCCTAGTCATATGAGTTCTGTATAAACTATATTTTATGAAGAGTTCTTTTTATTTGTCTCAGTTGAACAAAATCAAGATAGAGAAGCTAAAGCCCTTCAACAATTGGTGGGGAAAACGTGAAGATGTCAGCCGGTTGAGTTTCATCAAGGTACAGGGCAGTCACATTACTTAGTTTCAGACTCCTAAGTTGAAAACTGGGACAACACAAACCCATATGCATCAATAGGCATTGGCTAGTTTGATATTGAAGTCTTCATAAATAAATTAAACTATACAAAAGAATCATCTGGCTGTTCTTTTCTCTCATTTTCAAGTAACACTTTTTAAAAAAAAAAAAATTTCAAGTAATATTTTTTTCTCTCCTCCTTTTTATCTCCTCTATTTAAGCAACAAGAAGTTGAGCATGGTGAGAGGCCATTCAAGCCATATAGCATAAAGTTTTCATTGTCTTTCATTTCATATACTTCAAAATTATTATCCTAAGTTGTGAATTCAAGAATTTCAGATGATGCAGATAACACCGGTGGGAGGGAGGGACATGGAATTGGAAGAACCGAATGACAACAACAACAGAGAGATAGAGGACGTGGAAGAAGTTCGCGATGACAATGGTGAAACTGAGTTTCCAAAGAGGATACCGCCATGGACAAAGCAGATAACATTTAGGGGAGTCATTGCAAGCTTTGTGATTGGCGGCATTTACAGCTTGATAATCATGAAATTAAACCTCACAACCGGGCTTACCCCTAATCTTAACGTCTCTGCTGCCCTCCTTGCATTCATATTCATGCGTACTTGGACTAAGCTTCTTGACAAGGCGGGGATTGTCACTGTTCCATTCAACCGCCAAGAGAACACCATGATTCAAACTTGTGTGGTTGCTTGCTATGGCATTGCTGTTGGAGGTTTGAGCTTTCTTTTTGATCATTTCATTTTTGGGTTTTGTTAATTAATCTTTCTTTTGAATTGGGTTTTTTTGCTTCATAATTAATTCAGGTGGATTCGGGTCTTATCTACTCGGATTGAACAAGAAGACATACGATCTTACAGGAGGGGCTGGCACTACAGGAAATTCACCAGGGAGTTACAAGGAGCTTTCACTTGGTTGGATGTTGGGATTCTTTCTCATTACTTGTTTCATTGGTCTTTTCGTCTTGATTCCTCTCAGGAAGGTATGTACCAATCAAGTTTTGCATTAATCCTATTACCAATTAACTAAAGTTTCAATATTAAGATTCTTTTTTCTTCACTTTTTGAGGTAGTGCATTAATAACCTGTTTGAGTAATTGTTGGTTTTTTGGCTTTCGAAGGTTATTATTATGATTTTGAGTGTGCCAGCAAGAATCAATCAGTCCTTACAGAATATTAATTGCCAACCAATTATCAGACGATTGTGTTTTAGTTCTTTCAGTCTCAATGAAGAGGACTTTTACTGGCGGCTTTGTTTAGGAGGATTAAGCAAACAATGATTAAATGAAGAACAATTGTAGCATTTCATTAAGTAAAATGGAAGACTTACAAAGATTCGAATCAGCCTCGCAGAGGTTTATAGCGACAAACTACTCGAAACTACTTCTATGAATGAAGTGCAGTGCAAGAATTTAAAGTACAAGAATGTAAAGAATAAGAAATATAAAAACTTGAAAGAAAATAAAGTTGATAAAACTGATTTTTTGGATCTGAGTCTGGGGCTCCTTTCTGGGACCTTCTCTGCTATTTATACTTCTCAATGGTAACCGTCGAAATGAGCTTCTAACCGTCGAATCATCCCTCTATGATTGCTGATCATGTTTCCTCACAGTTAGCTCAACTATGCCATGTTTGCAATTAGGCTTCCCTCATGATATTTGAATTTAAATACGAGTAACCGTTAAGGTCACGTCATCTTGCATCTCTTTGCTGATTCCATACTATATAGATCCACAATAACCAATACTAACTGCCACATGTGTGATTATGATTGAAGACTTGAATTGTTTTCCCGTATTGCTCTCATCCTGTCATGTGTTGAACTGTGATTAGCTTGTATAAAATATGTAGCCAACATTACCCCCCGCACTAATATACCCAATTCTTGGTGATATTAGTGGATCAGGGTATTTTACCTACGTCTCAGAATGTGCATGGGCTTTGCACTTTTCAGAAATGCAACTGTCATTCATCAATGAAACATTTGTATTAAATTCTCTTCTATCTCTTGATCATCTCCACACTATCTCAGTATTCGAAAGGACTGGTACATCTTTCATGGCCAAGCAAGTTTTTTCTTACATTGATCAAGCATACGAAGAGTTATTTGATAATGTTGTTCGTCCTCGAAAGAACCTTCATGCTTTAATTAACGACTTTTATCCGTCTCCATTTATACAAGTTATGAAAGCTTTCGCAAATCATCGACCTTCAAACCAAGAACCTATTGCTTACGATTCTTTGGAACACAAATTTGAGACCATGGATATCGGAAGCTCTTCCTCTGCAACAAAGCTGTCCACGTAGGACAAAGCTACTGCTTCTTCTTCTTCTACGACCTCTGGTTGGGGAAATTGGCCTACCCCTACTCAACCTCAGACGAGGGAACGCATTCATTATCGTTTCCCTGAATTCGACGACCCTCTTGAAATCCCCCATTCCAAACGCAGTTCTATAGTATATCCATATGTTTCTATTAACCGTAAACGCAGTCTTGAAGACAATCTGCTTACAGCATGGTATACTTCTACTTTGCCATCTCGGATGGTTTGAAATGTCCCGTCTCCTAATAAAACTCTAGGGATCAGTCTTGCGCTTTTAGCCAAAAAAGCAAACTTTACCCCTCTAAATGGCTAGAATGTGTGGCCAGGCCTGAATTTCTGGACTCGCCCAGGGAACCTCCGACTACTCCTCCTCTGTCTTCTAATCCAAATTGGATTGATGAGTTGAGGCTCACTCTCTCTGAGGGCCAATCCTTCCCCCTTTATAAGGTCCTGGCGCCTCCAACTCCTTATCAGCAATTCAGTACTCAGATATTGCTTGCTGCATTTTCTCATTTATCCTTTGAAGTCCTTCGAAATGACATTCCCAAAAAAAAAATTCTATGGGTTTGTGACATTATGTCTCGAAGTCATCTCTTTAACCCTGTGGGGCCCAAATGGAGCTCTATATCTTTTTAGACCAACTTCCTCGCCTGCTCAACTGGCACTTCCATGCTTCCATTACCAGTGAAGTTCTGGATGAAGCCATTTATGCTTGAATCCAGATTCAGTATGAGGCAGAGAACCTCCTTGATGAATATGAAGCCTTCAAGAGCTATGATTCTGATTATGGGGAGGATGCTGCTATGAACGAAGTGCATGAAAAAGAAGAAATGGATGCCACAGATAAAGCTCTAAAAGAGATAGAATTCGAAGTAAAGGCCCAAAAACTCTCTTATCAATTGAGGGCTTACCAATTAGATAAACCAAACCTAGACAAGATAAAGGATAGAGTAGGAAAAGAGTATTCATTTATTAAATTTTGTTGGACTAAATTCCATGACCTTGTAACTTTCTCTATTCCATATTTCTACGAAATCGAGAATGTAATCAAATGAATTCTAGTGTAAACAACACTTATCAATATAACTGGGTTTTTCGAATTTCATTTATCAGATTCTGATTTACCACTCCAATTGTAAACTGCATGATTGATGTGCTTTGACTCCATTCCAACTCAAACTCTTCCAAAGTATGAAATCTTTTCTTTTGAGAAAACAAGTATTGCCTTTCATACTGATTCTAGGACTAACATAATTCTTCAGCTATCAGCTTCGAATTACCCAACTTTGTCCTTCGAAACTTGATTTGATCATATTCAATTCCCCAACATATGGTTAATATGATCAAGCAAAAATCAACTAATTTTTGTTTCAAACAAACAGTTTATATTTTCCAAAATATGAAAACCTCTTTTAAGGACTGCACTGTTTTATTCTAAAAGAGTGATTTTTTCTATATACTACCAAACCAACTATTGGTTTGAAACTTAGAACAAATAATTCCTATCCTTGAGGTATTTCAAGTTTTGCTTCGAAGGATTTTACTCTCACTAAGAAACCCTAAAACAAGTTTTTAATCCTTTTGAAGTAAACAAATACTTGAGCATTTTTGCATCCTTAGGTGTGGAATGTGCTTCAAAGTCGACTTCTTGCCTTCAAAGCTGTTTGTTATTTGACTTTGGCTCCAAAATTTGGCTTCGAAGCCAAATATTTTATTTTGAAGCTGACATTAGTATTTGAGATGGTTTCCCTCCATAACTACCAATATTGAAGAAAACTTTTTGCATCTGTATCTTTAGTACTTCTTTATGAATTCCACGATTGTGTATATTTAAAACCCTTTTATTTCGTGCTCCCAATCCACTTGATCGTTTAACACACAAACCCTTTATCTTCTGCTTGTTTGCTTTTTCCCCTTACCCTCGTCTTCTGAGAAAACTCTCTATCAATGGCTTCTTCTTCCTTGAAAATACCGGTTGTGGAGCGTGTGAGTCTATCCGTAGCCTTGAAAAGGATCATTGATGAAGAGTGAGAGAAGTACAAGGCTGGTGAGAAAAGTGTCATTGACGGACACATTTTCATTCCTTGTCGTCATGAGCAGCAAGAGTATGTGCTTGGAGCCATCTTCAAGGAGATTCCTACTGAGATTCCAGCTCTGTATCCACGTCTAGAAGATCATTGTCTCCTTTACGAAGGTGGTCTTCACCGGGGAAGCTGGAGGATGAACCGCCCCCATCGCTGCTGGCCTACGGTGAGACCAGAGTGAGAGGAATGGTATGATCGAGCCGTTCCTGATAGGACTCTGGATCTTCAGGAGCTCTGCTTCTTTGACGCCCTCCAATTATCCAGGTTCACCATTTTGGAGGACCATTTTTTAATTCCTCCTGCTGCCCTTTGTTTTTGGAATTCTGTTTTTAATTTCTTTCAATTTAGATGTAGGATGATGGCTCCTATTGTTCTTGACATCTGCCATCTATTAGGATTGTCCCCTACTGGTACCCCCGTTGGTCCAGATTATCCTGACCTCAAAACTCATTTTTCCCTCCTCTTTCTTAACTTACCCTATAATGACTTTGTTAAGGCTGAGAATAAAAGAGAGGGCCTTGTGACTGATAGGGAATTCTTCTCTTTTCTATTATATTGGCTTTGCAAGTTCCTCTTCTACACCTCTTTTCAGAGGATCATGCCTGAACTTGCCCCTCTTGCTAAAGCCCTTATCTTATAAAGAAAGGTGACCTTAGCTCCATATGCTCTAGGTCATGTCTATAGAGCTTATTCATTTTTTGTGAGAAACCCTTCGATGCCAATCAGGGAGGTCCATTTTGGATACTTCAACTTTGGCTTTTTGCATATTTCACTGAGCTACAATCTAAATGCTTAAAGTTTTTAGAGCCAAACCCTACTACTCATGGCATGAAGTTAGCCAATGTTTCACTCTATCCTTCCAACTTTGCTTTTTACTTTTCTTTCTTCCACCAACTCCCAGTTTTCCCTTCTTCTCACAACTTCCGCTCCTTCGAACCTACCAATATTGGCCCATCCTTGTTGAGGACCTTTTTGAGTGATAGGTCTTGCTCTATACCTCAACACGAAAACATGTGGGCCTCTATTCTGATTCCAAGAGAATTATTCATTGGGACCATGAACCCCAGAGCCTACAAATGCATTGTTGAGCCCTACTATCCTGCCTAATTTGCTAGGCAATTTGTCTTTTCACAAGGAGTCCCAATACCTCTCTGCAGCCAGACCAATTTAAGCCTTACCAGCAGGGATTTGAAGATTCGAAGATCTAGATTGGAAGAAGCAACTTCCAAATTCATCCAGGATTTCATTGACTTTGAGTATTTCCCCTTCATACCTCAAAGCAACATCTTAAAAAGGTGCTAGAACTGGTGGATGACCAATACGGAGGTACACTTGGCCATTCCTCCTCAGGATTTGTTAATGGTACTGGATGTACCTCAAGCCAAGTCCAAAGGGGCTGGAGTTGTTACTTCTTCCATTGCTCCTACCACTTCAGTTCTTGTGCCTGTCACCACAAAGTCTATTCCCACTATCTCAACTCCTTCTAGAGTTACTCGAGCTGCCACAAAGAAAAGTATCTACTCCTATTTCTTTTCCCCTTCTCCTCTATGATGTTCTTGTCCTTACTTATAACTC